TTATAGAATAGGCTCAGTACGGGGCCCAATGGCGAGGTTTATGAACACAGTAAGTTTCTTGGTCTGGATTTGTATCCGAGACTTGCAGTTTTCTCTTGCTCTCTGACAATAATCCTGAACTGATTGAACGTAATCGTGATGGTTACCTGTCACGTTAGACTTCAGACCTCGTAAACATGTCCTTGTTGGTCTGCTGGACATCTCCACCTTGAGAAACTCGCTGGAACATGATTTAGTGAGCCTGATGGTTAATTGGTCATCCTGTACCCTCTCCTTCCTCGAATTTTAAAAATTATGATAGCCACAACTTTATAAGTTTGATATTTCAACCAAGTGGTATATTTAAGGTGCAAAGAAATTCGTGTCTGAGCACCACATTAGGGGAAGTACCACAGTGGGCCTCACATCTGGTCTGGAAACAGTGGAAATGTAACCCTGGTGGACCAGCCCCTTACCAGTCCTACATAGCCGAAACAATAGGTCTTTGGCCCATGTGAATGCTGGTCCCTTGATCCGTTTTGGACAACGATCAACTCGAAAACGGAACAATTTCGAGAATAAGCCGTTTGGCTTATAACGAGGCGTGTGTAAAAGACTGTAATTGAAGTGGATGTATTCTTTGTGATATGTAAATAATTTTACAGCAGTCGGTGTGTCCGCATTGCCTTGGACCGCTCAGCTTACGGATGTGTGTCCTACGTGCTTCTGTTTGCCAAGCCTTACAGCCACCCGGCCCTCATCCAAAGAATCTAACATTGTATAATAGGTTATATAAGATAGAATCTTCTGTACAGTTAAATGTGTAAAAGGGAGAGAATAGTTACTGTTAAAGTAGTGGATTTTGGGGGTGCAAAGATTAGACCTGAGATATTCTCCTTATGACGGAGATACATTGGTACTTTCCTGTGTCATTGGAACAGTACGGGATGTTTTCTTACATTTTAAAGAAGTTCCGAATTTTTTGAACACCTGTCACAATGTCAAGTTCTTATGGCCGCAGTAAGTTATCCTATTTTCGTTTGTGAGGTGTCCCAATGGGAAAAATGGAACCGTTTCAGATTATAATTTTGTTATTTGCAATTTTCATGCCAGCTCTTGTATTAATTTAAAGTACATTTAAAGTAGCTGATGTGACATGAATAGTTCGTTTAAATTTACAGGTATTATGTTAACCGTCGTACAATGGAGGAAACGAGAAGTACATACAAAATTTTTGTCACACCTCAAGGGGTGGGGGTATCTAAGCGTAAATGGGTGAATGATGCTACAATTGATGTTGAAAAAGTTGTGTGCGAAAATGTGGCTGGAAATGATATGACTCTGGATGCGGTAGTATGGTAGGCTTCTATTAATTAACACGCTGAAAGTTTCAATAAGAACCTGCCCGGAGGTGCTTTTGACAGTAGATACAATGGTGAGAATGTAATTAACTAAATACCAATGTTTTCGAACTGCCTCAACTCTGTGGGACAGAAGATTTTCGTATCACCTGATTTAACGTTCATAAATTCGCCATTTTGCCTCCGAATTGTTTGTGGGCATGTGGATATCTTTTTGTTTTCAGAAACAGTTATTTCCCTCGACTGACTTTTTTTGTAAATCTCTATTTTCCCGTTATTTTTTATGGGTTTTAAGGCCCTGGGATTTACGCAGGTCAAACTTTTGCGTCAGTGTTGGATGCGATTTCCTTTATCTTCCTGCCAAATCTGCGCACTTCTCCGTTTATTTTCGCAGTTCATCGCCGATGCATCATGCTACGTTGGGCAGGGCACAGTGGCAGTGTGGTTAGCTGGTTGTGTAGCATGAGTCACTGCCACTATCCTCACTGCCCTTGTGACCCGTCCCTTCTCAACAGTATTGGTATTTTCAAGAATTTCTTCCCGGAAAATCGAAGCTGAAATCCGAGATTCAAGTGGAAGAAACTCATTGGCGACTGATGCTAAGTACTGCCTGATTGTTTAGTTGTGGCCGCTGACGTGCGCATGAGGGGAAGTATGAGAAGAGGAGTGGGAGTTGTGTTGTGGAAACTGAAGACAGCTGGAGGAAGGACAACGCATTGGAACCGAAGAACTTGGTTACTCACGACTTCTGTGTGATTAATTAGTTGTGTGTGAAATTTATACTGGCACCATATAAAGAAATGTCTAATGTTTTCTATAGGGATCAAGAGGCCAAACTTAAAGTACGCTTATTTCCGTACCATCTGCATACCGGTTTGTTTTCAGACTTTAGTGTTTGGTGTTCATGGAGACACGTTTATACATTGAATGTGTCATAACATACAGGATACGTCATTCATTACATTACCAATGCAGTTATATAAAATTTAAACCGGAATAGTTCCAATTGAAGTATTTTACGTTTATTAAAAGTTGGCGCATTACATTTGTTTAGCAACGTAAGTTTTAACTTGAAGATGACGTTTGGCAAAACCTAATTAATATTTATTTGTGAGTGGTACTAATAGATAATATACATGTGAATAAGTGGCATGCATTCTTTTTACAACCGCACTTTCACCGTTACAACCGATGAGACTATGGCATGTATCTTTGTAAAGTAAAATTGTCTGGCTATTTTCAATACAGTCGGAAACCATGGTCACCGCCATGTTTGTGTTGGCATCTCACACTACAGCGTACTTGAATTCTGAATCACTGCGCGTTTTGTAATGGTAAATGAAATTTCAAAAGCTGATTACAACTGTTGGACTTGTTTTGACGTAAGGTAACTAGATTTTACTGGATGATTATGGATTCAGATTACGTTAATAAATTGTTAATGTTGAATTTCTGGCGTGTAGTTAAAGCTAGGTATAAATTGTGTACGGAGGTAATTTTATTTTACATTTTGCATAAACAACAACAAAAGATGCACATTTATAACCTTTCAAAAGTTCATAGTCTTATCTTATTAAACTGCGCTAATGTCGAGTCCATCCCAGAAGTTCGCACCTCCCATGCGACGGTACAAAGGTTTTGTAGTCATTTCAGGGTCTTGCCTTACAGTGCGCTAATATCGTTACCACCTCAGTATTTCGCACAACAGCCGTGAACATTTATCATGGAACTTGAAATTTGTTTGTCTGAAGAAGTTGGGAAATGTCGAACAGTTGAGGTTTTGTCAGTGTTGGTCTTGTGGGTAGCAACGTTTCGGAGGAGCGCGCTGTCTTCATCTTTAGGGCTGAAGTTTGATATAATGAAAGTCACCTGGCGTTTGCACTCAGAGGGTCAATATTGGAATTTTCACCGCGGTGAGAGCTTCAAATCTCATTTGAGGTCATAATTGCCTGTGTTAGATTGAGCCTGATCCGTTGCTTCCAAGCCGCTTTTAAATCGGGTATGGATGAGGCGTCGCATACCATGGGCCGTGCGTAAGTCGGCAGGACAGTGTCAGATTCACGTAGGAGTGCAGATTGTGGGCGGGCGGGCCCAGGAACCAGGATTATAGTGCACCGGTCCCTCTGTCGACCCACTGAATTACGAAGCTTATCTAAATTTTATTTAAATATTCGGTTCCCACCTCAAATCACAACGCATCTCCATTACAGAGATTAGTTGGTTAATGCTGTTTAAGAAAATAATCCTTGTTTTTGAGATTCACACGAGTTGTACACATATGTAAAATCTAGACAAAATACAGACATGTTGAATTTTAAGCCAGGTGGTTCGTATTATTACCATTGTACTTTAAAAGGTTAACGCAGTAGAAAGGGAAATCTGAACGTCCACCTCCTTCCTAATCCTAACCTGTACATTGCTTTATGGCGATGGGGAAGATACGAAAAATATCTGTCGGACGACCCGAAGGGTAGAGACTTCTTCGGATTCCTGAGGCATGGAGTGGAGGTTGCTAAAATATTGGCAATGTGTTTACTCTTTGGGGTACAGTGAAGTTTCTAACGCTGCATCACTTGCGTTGACGTCACCAGGACAACGACGGGAATAACTGATGCAACAGTAATGTTAATGGTAATTGTTGGAACAGTCCGTTTTAATGCCATCTTCTGGTTCCATAAAAGACGGAGTGACTTGTGTTTATT